AAAAAAAAAAAAAAAGAAAAAAATTCTGTCAATACAGAAGTGAATTGTGGACATAAAATAGTCATGCCATTTGGATAATAGCACTAGGCAGCATTTATGTAACAACTAATGACAAAAATTCACAGCAGGTGATATATAAAAGAAAATATTCTTTGCAGTAAAAAAAAGTGACATATAAGGAAGATAATGAAGATACATGCTAGTCATTTATCCTTCCTCCTGGGTTCTCAGTTCTATCCTCAGGGGAGGCATTTCCCCCGCAAAAGGACTCCTGGACCCCCGAGTGGAGTCTGGAACACTTCACTGATGTTTGTTCCAATTCTATGCACTCAATCTACAGAAATAACTTCCTGTTAGACCTCAACCCCCTATCCTGTGTGGGCTCTTAAAATTTGCATGTCTGGGAGGCCGAGGGAGGTGAATCACCTGAGGTCGGGAGTTCAAGACCAGGCTGACCAACATGAAGAAATCCTGTCTCTATTAAAAATACAAAAACCTCATCTCTACTAAAAATACAAAATTAGCCGGATGTGGTGGTGCATGCCTGTAATTCCAGCTACTCAGGAGGCTGAGGCAGGAGAATCGCTTGAACCCGGGAGACGGAGGTTCCAGTGAGCCAAGATAGCACCATTGCACTCCAGCCTGGGCAACAAGAGTGAAACTTCATCTCAAAAAAAAAAAGAATGGCATGGCTTTCAACTGAGCTCACCTCGAGCCCACTCACCTTGTAAATGGGGTCATCCTATAAGTTAACACAGTGGAATTCCCCTCCTGTCTCTCATATCTGTCTGTCCTTCCCCAGCAATAGTCCCTGGAGTGGCCCCTATTAATGGCCTTGACATCCGCTCCCATGCTTACTTTTACAACCACCTCCTTCAGGACTCCCTGTTTCCCACCCCTGTCATCTCTGTTTGGCCTCTCTTCCCTGAGTCCTGAAGCTGAACTGGATTCTGCCCCTCCCTGTAAGGTCCTCCTTAGGCTGGCTGACACCTCCTGCACTTGCCCATCGACAAGTGACATCCCAGGCCTCAAGCATTCATGCCTTTGCACATTTTATTCCCTTTTCCTTGAATGCTTTTTCTCCTCTTGGAGATAAACAGTAAATTCCAACTCAAATTTCAAGACTTTGGGCAAAGGTTACCTTTGCCTGAGGCCATGGGACTCTCCCAGGCAGTGTTGCCATCTCACTTCTATGTGCTCCTGCAGCCCTCTGGGCACACCTCCATTGACTGGCTGAGTGCATGGCAGGGTTATTATCTTTTTGCACATGTTTCGAGTCTAGGCAGCGTGGCAGGGGTTCAGTCTTTGTTGCATGACTGCATAATGAAGGGTGCATTATATAGGTCAATTGTTTATCCATCTTCTGATACATCTGGTTATTCAAACCTACATCCATTATGTTACATAATGTCCTTGTATAAAATCGCACATGAGAAATTACTTTTGAAATTGAAAATGAGGAAAAGCAAGTTATGTCCTTCTACCATAGACGCTGTATTACAGAGAGAAGCATGGAGTCCTTTGTGTTCCCCACTCCCTTCCTTTCTTCTCTTGTTTCCAAGAAGCTCAGAGCCAGATTTAATGTTCATTCACAATAATCACATTGGCCCTCCTGAACAAAATTTGGCTCTTCCTCTTGTTTCTGGTTTTGATTTTCTATTTTTTCTCTAATAACCTTTTTGAAATTAATTATTCCTAACACTGTATCACTTGATATAGAAAGACAAAAAAAAAAAAGAAGAAATCAGGCAGTGGAATATGGAGGGAAAGGAATGAGTTCTGTAATCAGAGAAACATGTATTTAAATGGCCCTCATGGCTGTGCAACTTGAGCAACTTAACCTCTCTGAACGCCCAATTTCCCTTTTATAGGGTCATTATAAGGATTAAGTTAAAATGTATGTACTCTATATAGCATACACTAGAGGATAAAAACATGATGATTACACTAAGTGGGGCTATAAGTGAATAAAATAATTGAAAGCGTCACTCCAGGCTGGCCTCTGGAAGAATAAACAGCCATTCACATGGGATGACTTGGGAAGGAGCAAGGCCCACTTGCCTAAAGCCCGTCTCCCCCAAGTCAGTCCCATCACTAGGATCACTATTCAAGGGACTGTTTTGAAAGATGCCTTCTTAACTGGGCTGAGAGATTATCTCACCAGGAGTGGGCACATATAGCATGTGGTTCCGCAGAGCAGGGCGTAGAGAAGAGAGGTCCTAAGAGAAAGAGGAGGAAGAGGGGGAGGAGAAGGGAAAGGATGGAGGGAGAGGAGGAGACTGGGGAGGTCCTTGGCTGGATATGGCTGGGCCCTGCAGGGGTCCTCTGTGCTGGGGTTGCTGAGCTACCTGAAGCAGATTTGTTTGCCAAAGCTCCTTTTCTGTTCTTTTCAGGGTCCTCTGGGAGGAATGTGGGGGGTCTCAAGGACACAGAGACTGAACACAGGCAAAGAAATTAGGGCAGTGGATCCCTAAAGTGAGGGCAAAGCCGGGGGAGATGAGGGGAGAGACAGGCTAGTAGCAACAAGAGCCCCAGGCTGGAATCCTGGCTCTCACAGCTCACTGCCTGGCCCTGAGCCTGGCAGGGGGCTGCCAAGCCTCAGTTTCTTCATCTGAAAAATGAGGCTAGGAATAGTGCCCTCCAGCTTGCTGTGAAGATCAAATGAGGTAACATTTCTGGAGGCAGTTTGCACACTGAACAAGGGTTATTCTTGTGTAAGTTATTATCCAATTTTGCCTGGGGCAGGCTCTGTCTCTTTAAACTTTCAAATGGTACTTATTAAAATGGACCTACCTCTATAGATTTAAAACATTTTAAGTAGTAGTATTTCTCCAAAGAACAGTAAGGAGATTGGAGGGGATTCTTTCTAAGTTTTCAACAGTACTTTTTTTTTTTTTTTTGAGACAGGGTCTGGCTCTGTTGCCCAGGCTGGTGTGCAGTGGTGCAGTCATACCTCACTGCAGCCTTGTCCTCCTGGGCTCAAGCGATCTTTCTGACTCAGCCTCCTGAGTAGCTGGGACCAGAGGTACATGCCACCACACCTGGTTAATTTTTTAACTTTTTGTAGAGATGGGGTTTCACTATGTTGTCCAGGCTGGTCTCCTGGACTTAAGCCATCCTCCCGCATCAGCCTGCAAAGTGCTGGGATTACAGACGTGCCACCAAGCCCGGGCGTCAGTAGTCCTTTTGACAACTGAAAGTCAGATGAATCAATGGAGCCAAACTCCTGGAGGAATTTATCAAAAGAAGCAAAGGTGAAATAGTAATTCTTTTCTGCTCCTTCCAGGGGACTTCCCCTTGCTGGGAAGAGACTGCCAACTCCCAAGGTGGCTGCCTTCACACCCATCATATCCTGGCCCCAGAAGAGGGGCTCCTCAGGGGATGGCTGCCCCAGCTGCACTACAGCAAAGCTCAGCTCAGCTCTACTGCCCTCTTGCCTGGAGAACCACACAGGAGGATCATTAATTAGTTATTCATGATGCCTAATTAAAAATCAGTTCCCCAGAAATATAGAATTCGGGTTTTCATTGATAACAGGGTTGGTTTAGGATAAGGCAAAATAATCTGTGTAAGCAGCTTAACTCAATGCCAGGTGCAGGGCCGGAGCTCAACCAGTATTTGTTGAGTGTGACTCCAAGGGCCGAAATCGCCTAATGGGTATACACATGTGCGTGCACACACACACACACACACACAGAGACAGAGAGAAAGAGAGAGAGATACATGACCAGGACAGCCCTTTTTTCAAAGCAAAACATGGCAAATGATTTTTGCGCTGGTAGTTCTGAGCAGAGTGCTCTCAGTACATACACCCTGCAGTGTCAGATCTGAAAGTTGGACTGAGGTCAGTTAGATAGGGTGGTCGTGGCCTCCCTTAAAGGATAATGAACTTGGCTGATGACAACTGCATAAAGTTCATCAGGCTGCTGGTTAGAACACCGTGCAGCAAGGAGGACAAACAGCAGAAGAGAAAATCCCCAAATTCAAGCAAGCACAGAAACCCATGATTAGTGTCCTTGGGCTAACCTATGCTCATTTTAATGCTAAAAAACACAGCCCGGGTAGAGAATTAAACTGCTAATGAGATGTGTGTGCCAGCATGTACAGCACTGGCGCATGCACACTGAGGCTACCCACAACATGCTTAACAGCAGTGCCCAAAGCAGAAGCAGCTGCAAACAAACCTCTTGAACACCGAACTGGGAAGGAAGTAGTGATTTATTCGGCCAGGAGCTGCGACAGGCCTGAATGCCCTAATAGCCGAGCTCCACAACTAGAAAATCCTGTCCCCTTTTAAAGGCTCACAGTCTTAGAAATTACATGTGAAAAGGTTTTGGTCCATGGAGTAGGCATGGGGTATGTGACTTAGGTGGGTCTGATTATGTTTAAGCAAAAACAATGCCTTCCGGGAAGATTCCTCCATACCATGCCTGCTATCTATAGGGGTGCGATTAAGGGTGGCACCGGTCTGCTAGGTTTTACCTCTCCTATTGAAATGCAATGCAGAAGGCTAGGGGAAGTGGTCTTAGAAGCTTAAGAGGATTAAGGGAGATTAAGGGTCTCCTTCCTCACTCCTCACTCCTCACTTTGAGAATCTCACCTATAACATTAGTGAGAGTTCTCACTCTCATTCTTATTTTCCTCCATTTTAGCTATTAATTTAGTAGGGCTGTTCCACTGTCCTGGGTTACACACCTTATACTGAGTACCATTATATAAACAGATTCCCTTCTGTGTCCCTATACATTCATAATAACTGTAGAACAAAAGAATGGCAGTAACTTTCCATTCCACCTCAGTAACCTGGTGCACACACTGAGAGCATTCTTCAAAATTAGTTAATGTCCCTACTGTAAAAGTCCAAATTCCAAGAATAAGTCCCATGATGAGTCTCCTCATGCTTCGGCAGTGCGTGAATCAGCCAGCTTCCAGGATGTGGCTGGAGCAAGGCTTGCTGTCCTTCTTAAGTTGATTCTGCAATCGTCTGGGTCTGGTCTAGCCTTGCAAGTTGCTGCAGGTTTTGTGCGGCTGTGGTGGATCCAGGCTGGGATTCCCTCTACCTTTATGGCTGTGGGAGTGGTCAGGATCATGGTCTGGGGTCCTTTCCACCATGGCGTCAGAGGAACTACCTGCCAGTCCTTTATCCACATCCGATCACCTGGTGAGAAAGGGTGAACTGGGGAGAATAAGCTTACAGGAACACTTTCATTTACCCAGGTCAAAATGTCCTGAGTGATTTTTCCTAGAGCTTGTAGCTTTCATCCTAGCTCAATTTCTCCCCACTCTTGAGGAGTTCCCAGGAGTGCCTGCAGTATGGGAGGTGTTTTATAAGACTTCATAGCGGGAATATTGGGAGTACATCCAATTTTGAATGACACCAAGGGAAGTGCTTGCCTGCACCCACTTTAATCCTGTTTCCTGACACATTTTCCCTAAGCTATTCTTTTTTTTTAGTTTTTTTTTTTTTTTTTGACACATCTTATTTTACTCAGATAGCAGTCTGACCACACATGTTCCAACAACACTCAAATAATAAATCAAATATAACCAGATGTTAAAGATTGGTCTTTGAACATCATAGCCAGTGATGCCACGCTTGCCTATGATCTCTGCAACATAAAACCACATCAACACCTCAGTGGCCACCAAACCATTCAGCACAGCTCCCTCAACTGTGAGTTGTTTGAAGCTACCAGTCTGAGCACTATTGACTATTTTTTTCAGGCTCTGAATAGCTCTAGGGATCTCAGCAGGGGTGGGAGGAATCAGCTCGATCTTGGCATAGTACCAAAATGTCGCCAATTGAGGCTGTGAATAAGTCACAGCAGCATTCACCAGCACCGGGGTCTTCTCCACAAGGTTACCAATAAATTGGGCCATGGTTCTGGGATGGAAAGTCTGTCGCCCCAAACCCCCTAAGCTATTCTTAATAGTCCGGTTCATCCACTCCACCTTTCCGGAACTCTGTGGTTGGTTGTGCTACTCTTCCATCTAGTAGCTGGATCTATCCCTCTTTAATTATTTGCCCCCCACACCTTCTGCTTGGAGAAAGTCCTTTGGTATTCATTAGAGTCACTGCTGTGTGGGTGGTTTGGTATTTAAGTTTTGCTCCAGAGTTAGCTTATTAGCCTCTTGTGCTAGCAGAGCAGTTGCTGCCAGGGCCCTTAAACATAGGAACCATCCCTTGTAAACTCCATCCAGCTGCTTGGAGAGGTAAGCTACAGGCCTGGGCCAAGGTCCCACTGTTTGTGTTAGAACTCCAACCACCATTTTTTCTCTTTCTGACACACACAATGTGAAGGGCTTTGTTAAATCAGGTAACCCCGGAGCCGGGGCTGACATAAGTTTCTCTTTCAGTTCCTGAAAGGCCTGCCACTGCTGAGACCCCCATTTAAAGGGTTCCTTGTCTGCCGCTTAGTGACTTGATAAAGGGGTTTGGCCAGTACTGTGAGGTTTGGAATCCACAATCTACAGAAACCCACAGCTTCCAGGAACTCTTCCACCTGCCTTCTAGTCTCAGGTCCTGGCAGGTTGCAAATGACTTGTTTCCTCTCTGCTCCTAGGCTGTGCTCTCCCTGCTGCATGGGAAACCCCAGATATTGCACTTGCTGTCAGCAAATCTGGACTTTTTTTTAAGACACCTTTTTTTTTTAGACACCCACAGTCCTCCAGGTGCTGAAGTAAGACATTTGTTCCTCTAGCGAACCCAACTGCCACGGGGTGTCCCAATAAAAGGCCATTAACATATTGGTGCAATACACAATTTAAGTCCTTAGCAGGAAACTTCTGGAAGTCATGGGTTAGTGCCTCCCCAAAGATGGTGGGGGAGTTCTTGAACCCCTGGGGTAGCTGCGTCCAGGTGTACTGGGTGGTTACACCTGTTTCTGGATTTTCCCATTGAAAAGCAAATGGTTTCTGACCCTCCAAGGCCAGTCCAATGCTAAACAAAGCATCCTTTAAGTCCAAGCAGGTGAACCAACTATTCTCCACTGACAATAATCCCAACAGCGTGTACAGGTTGGGTGCAGTTGGGTGCAAAGTCACTGTGGCCTGATTAACCAAATGCAAGTCCTCCACTGGCCTATAGTCTTTGGTCCCTGGTTTAGGAACAAGCAAGAGGAGGGTGTTCCATGGAGACTGGCAAGGAACTATAATTCCATAGTCCTTTCAGCATTTTAGGTGGACCTGAATGCCTTCTAGGGCCTCACAGGGAACTGGATATTGCTTTTGCCTAACTGGCTGAGCCCCAGGCTTGACTTCAATGAGCACAGGGGCCTGGTTGATTGCCAGTCCTGGTGGATTGTCCTCTGCCCAGACCATAGGCCATCGTTTTGCTAACGCAGGCTCTATCTCCCGGTCTGGTTCAGTTAAGAAGAGCCTCTACTCTTCTTCATGAGGAACCCTGAGAGCCATTATGACTCCAGTTTTAGGCAATGCCAGCCATAAAAAGCCACTCTCGGTGAAGGTGATGGTTGCCCGTAGCTTACTGAGCATATCCCTTCCTAGCAGGGGCAAGGGGTAATCAGACATGTATAGGAACTGGTGAATCACCTTGTACCCCCCCCCACCTCACAAATCCAAGGCAAACAGAAAGACTGTTTCTCTGAACCCCAGTAGCTCCAACAATATTAGTTGTTTCCTTTGATGGGGGTTACAGGACTGTCATCCGGACCATGGACTCTTGGGGGCAATTGAGCCCGGCCTCCTTCAGTCCAGTGGCCCTTCCATTAGATTGAACAGAGCTCCTTCACTTTCATCTGAAGCCTCGTGCTTAAGATCGCCCTGTTTTCCTGTCAACTGGGGGCACTTGTCCTTCCAGTGTCTCACTTTTTTACAGTAAGCACACTGGTCACGCTGCAGGCACAGGCGATTAGACTGGGTAGCTTTCCAGGAGATCCCCTTTCCCCAGTCTTCTGGGACCACTCCTCTAATAGTGGCAGCTATCAAGTCAGCTCTGTGTTGAGCCTGACGCTCGTTTTCTCTACGACTTTCTCTATGGCTTACCACATATCTGTTTACAAAACACCTGGTTAGCTATTTCTTTTTTATTATTTTTTTTAATTGTATTTTAGGTTTTGGAGTACATGTGAAGAACATGCAAGATTGTTGCATAGGTACACACATGGCAGTGTGATTTGCTGCCTTCCTCCCCTTCACCTATATCTGGCATTTCTCCCCATGGTATCTCTCCCCAACTCCCCACCCCCCACTGTCCCTCCCCTATTTCCCTCCAACTGACCCCAGTGTGTAGTGCTCCCCTCCCTGTGTCCATGTGTTCTCATTGTTCAACACCCGCCTAT